TTTTTTTTTTTTTTTTATAAAAGCCATTCTAACAAGTATGAGGTGGTTTTAATTTGCATTTCTCTGATGGTTAATCACGTTGGGCATTTTTTCATATACCTGTTGCCCATTTGTATGTTTTCTTTTGAGAAATGTCTATTCAGGTCCTTTGCCCACTTTTAAATCAGGTTATTTGTTTTCTTGCTATTGAGTTATAGGAGTTTCTTATGTATTTTGGATATTAACCATTTAATGGATATATGGTTTGCAAATGTTTTCTCCCATTCCATAGGTTGTCTCTTCACTCTGCTGACTGATTCCTTCCTGTGCAGAAACTTTTTAGTTTGTGCATCCCTTTTGTCTATTTTTACTTTTGTTGCCTGTGCTGATGGGGTCATATCCAAAAAATCATTGCTTAGGCCAATGTCATGGTGTTTTCCCCCTGTGTTTTCCAGTAGTTTTATTGTTTCAGGTTTTAAATTTAAGTTTTTAATCCATTTTGAATTGATTTTTATATGTAGTATGAGATAAGGGTCTAATTTCATTCTTCTCGATGTGGATATCCAGTTGTCCCAACACTGTTTATTGAGAGAATATATCCTTTTCCTGTTGTGTGTTGTTGCCAACTTTGTTGAAACTCAATTGATTGTAAATGTGTAGACTTACTTCTGGGTTATTTTGTTCCATTAGTTATGTGTCTGATTCCATGCTGTTTTGATTACTATAGCTTTGTGGTATATTTTGAAGTCAGGTAGTGTGATGCCTCCAGTTTTGTACTTTTGCTCAAGATTGCTTTGGCTATTTGGGGTCTTCTGTGGTACCATATGGATTTTAGGATTGTTTTTTCTATTTCTGTGAAAAATGTCATTGGAATTTTGATAGAGATTGCATTGAATCTATAGATCACTTTGAGCAGTATGGACATTTTAAAAATATTAATTTGTCTAATCCATGAACATGGATGATCCTTCCATTTGTGTGTTTTTCAATTTCTTTCACCAATTTCTTTTCACACACCAACTGTGTCTTTTTTGAGACACAGCTTTGTTCTTTTGCCCCAGCTAGAGTGCAGTAGCATCATCATAGCTTGCTGCAACCTCAAACTCTTGGTCTCAAGCAATCCACCTGCCTCAGCCTCCTGAGTAGCTGGGACTACAGGCATGTACTACCACACCCGGCTAATTTTTCTATTTTTTTGGTAGAGACAACTGCTTTTTTCATTTGACATTGTTATTGAAATCTATTTATTTAGATCAGTGCTTCTCAACTGGGAACAATTTTTTCCCCCAGGGGACACATGGCAATGTCTGGAGACATTCTGGCACAATTTGTGGAGGGGAGGAGTGCTACTGGTATTTACTGGGTAGAAGCCAGGATGCTGTTAAACACCCTACAGTGCACAAGCCAGTACCCCACAACAAAGAATTATCTGGTCCAAAATGTCAGTAGCACTGAGGCTGAGAAATCCTCAGTTAGATATATTTATATTTAGTTAATCTCTGGTTAACTACTGGACACTAGTGCATCATATAAATACACTGTGATTCATTTATCCTCTGTTGATGGATACTTCAGTTGCTTGTAATTTTTCACTATTACAATCTCTAGCTGGGGCAAAATAAATATCTAACAATTTTAAGGAGAGGAGCGTGGCATGATTTTATGTATATATATTTTTTCCCCACCCCTCCCCTAGAGATATATTTTAAGTAGATTTCCCTGGCTCTAATGGTTGAATTGAAAGAGTCATTAGAGGTTGGAAAAGAAGTTTAGGTATTGCCATAGTTCAAGAAGTAAGTCATTAGAGTAGCAAGTAATAAAAAAGAATGCAAGACACAACATGATAATAAACAGGAGCTACGGACTGGATCCAAGGAGAGCCAGGGGGTCTGGGTAATAAGGATGGTGATACTAAGAAAAGACGCTGCAGAAAAGTCTATGATATTAATTCAGCCATTGCAAAAAACCCAAACCTTGGGAATTCAACAACAGGTCCACAGGGAGATGTAAGTTTGGTTTTCAACGGTTTAAAAATTATCCTGATATGGGGAATGGGAGTCTTTCCTGCAACATTAATTAAAATGTTGGACACTTAAGCTA